AAAATTTTTGGATGGAATATTCCTTCCTTTGGGAAAGAATATTTTTTCAAATAGGGGTAAAATGGCCATTAAAATATAAGAGAGTGCAAAAATGAAAATGGTAAAAAAAAAAAGGGTATTTTTAAAAGAGGGTATCATAAAAAGGTTATTGTTATCAATTTCTCTAGATATTTTGTCGGTTATTTCTGGTTTAGATAACCGGATCTAAACCAAGATGCGCCAAACACACTACACAATTACTCTAAACTTAACCCAAGTTCTTCATCTCTCTGTGGTTCGATCGGTGATTCATCTAGAGAGATAAGATCTGCTGAGTTACGGTGCAAAATGTCTCGTTACCAGTCTCCTTCCTTCGATGATGGCGAGGTTAATCCTTTTGCGGTAAGCTCGATTCAATCTCATCATCATCATCTAGGGATTCCTCTTTTTTTTATTCAGCGCCGCCGTGTTGAATCATATTGTTTCTGATCTGATTGATTCGTGTACGTAATGTTGATTGTAAATACTACCATTCCTGGGATCGAATTTTCGGTTTGAATGCACAAGGACTGATTGAGAGGCTTGGTAGAGAGGAAGGTCTGCTTGTGGGAAAAGGGTATTATACTGACTATACACCCGACCAGATCGCTCAAAGATATATGGACTTGCTCATCAGTTCAAAAGTTTCACAGTAAAAAAAAGAAAAGAAAACAGTATGATGTTGTCATTTGTAGAACAAGTATTAATACCGACATCGATCATTTATCTTCATCTTGTGTTTCGATATCCTATAGTGTAGTACCATGAGTATAGATTGAAATATAGCAAAAGAGAAATGATCAAAGATGATGATACGTTCATTGAGAGGCCAAAACATAAATTCTCATCATTGGTGTTTTGTCTTAACGACAACAGACTGTGAGAGAGTTCTTTAGTGTAGCGTTGCCTTTTGCATCATTTGAGTGACTTGTTATTATAAGCAAAGCATAGTTATGGTTCGGTCCCAATAATATATCATCACTACTACATAATTGTTTCGTCCTGAAAAAAAAACATATGATAAGATCGATCATAAAGAACCGAAGTCACAATGGAAACAGGAAAGCAAAAAGCAATTTGAATAAGTTACCGCGGGGTGAATTTTGTTTTTAATTCATATTTTTTTAAAATTATAGATGTTGGAGTTTATTGAATAATTATTAAAATTGTATAATATAAATATTTACTAAATTAGTTTAATTATACATGTTTTATATCGGTGTTGTTAAAAAATAGTAAAATGACCCGTATTGAACTGTAAAATTAATAATACTATAATTTGTTTTTGTAATATCAAGTCAAACCCGTTCCGTCTTACAACTCATCCCATCATATACTAATTGTTAGAAACATATTACAACATTTCCCGTTTTATACCCCGTCATGTCATATAATCGCCAAAAAAATATATACATATTTTTAAAAAAGGAAAAATCAATAATATTTTAGTATAAACCTGGTGTAAAGTTAAAATATTAATAACACTTAAATTTTTAAAAATTTAAATATTTTAAACTTTATATGTGGTTAAGAAGCTTTCATGTCTTGATTTTACTTCAATAAGCAAAAGAAAAAGAAAGTACTATCAAAACAGAAAAAAAAAAAATGGATATTCTAAACTTACACATAGATTTTGTTGTATATATATAGGTAAATGGTGTGGGAAATTTTAAATATTGGAAATAATAAAAAATTTTAAAAAATTGCATAAAGGAGTTGTATTTGCTTATCTTCTAAATATAAATGGAGAAATACAAAATATTGATATATTTTCTAATTTTTTATTTATTGTTAACATATGTTTTACCCAAAATATTGCATAAATTTCAATGGTTTGGTTTTCACTTTCCACATATTTTGTCAAAGAAATTCTGCACATAATAAATTGGAGTATAATAAACTGAAAAAAACTAAATTTAGAAAATTTTAATAACTTTTTGATCTATTTTTATTATATTTAAACCTTGTAGTTACTAAAATATAGAGAAATCAAATTTTCAAATTGTTTCTTATATTAATTATTATATCTTATTTTATTTTTCGCAGATTTATTGTTATTGAGTTTTATAATATTATATAATTGTTATCAAATAATCGTGTGCCTATTTAATTTTTATAAAATCAACTGAATTTAGTTTGAGAATTTTGCCTCATGTTTTCGAATTTTACATTATTTATTTTTGGAAATTTTTATTAAGATAATAAGTATGTATTAAATTTGAAGATTTTTTTAGCTATTTTCGAAATAAGAGATTTTCTTAACTATTTTTTCGTAATAATAAAATATCTCCTTAAGTATTTTTGCAAAATTTAAGGAAGATTTTCTTGCTTTCAATATTAATTATTTTTAAAAAATATTAATGCCAATGGCACAGGAATCTTCCAGCGACGAAGAAGAAGATTCAGAGGAAGAAGAAGATGCTGAAGAAGGAGACTCTAAAGAGGATAATGAACCATCTAAGGAGGCTCCTGCTGTGGCTACTGGATTTGAAACTGCTCATGTTCCTGCTTCTTTGGTGGCCGCTACAGCAAGTTAATATTCAAAAGAGATTGAGAGCAGATCTGCTCCTGCTTTTTCTTCCCGCCCACCAAAGAAGAAGAGACCAATTACTGAAGTGGCGGCTGATTTAACTGTTGCGAAACGTGCCAAGAATGTGAGGTTTCAGAGAGTGTGGAGTGAGAAAGATGAGATTATGTTGCTTTAGGGACTGATTGAGTATCAGAGCAAGACAGGACAGAGCACTTATGATGACATGAATGCATTTTTCCATAGTATTCAAAGATCTATTAGTTTTGAAATGAAGAGTGTGCGTCAGATGACCAGCAAAATTTGGTTTCTAAGGAAGAAGTACGAAAACGAGAAAGGCCAGAAACATTGTTTTACATAAGAGCATGATCTGACATGTCTTGAACTCGCCAAGAAGATTTGGGGATCAGAGGTCATTGATTCTACTATTGCTGAGATTGATTCTACTGTTTCTAGTGACGGATTCGAGAAATCGTTTCTCGTTCCTGCTATTGCAGAGCTGGGAGATTCACTGGATGAAGAAACTGTAAAAGAGAGATGGAATTTGGCGACGGTACAGGAGAAGAGAAAAATTGAAGAAACTTGGAAACTATTCAAAGAATATGATGTCAAGCGCCTCTAGTTAAGGACTCAACTTCTGCATGAGGTGAACTCTGCCATTTTCAGATCTAAGTAGAC